GCCACCATATCCTTTTCTTGGAGCAAGATCTAGCATTGGAGAAGTAATTTGCAAGCTTTGAAGAAGAAGAAGAAGGAGAAGGAGTTGGGAGGTCCAAGCAGGAGCTTGTTGGTCCAGGATTAGCTTCTCAACCTCATCACTTTTTGGTAATAAAGCCCTCACCTTGGCTATTGTACTTCTAGATCTAGTTTGCCCCCAAATGGATGGTTTTGAGCTCAAAAACCATAAATTCGTAATGATAAACCAGTTATATCGGTTCATATTGTAGATCTAGACATCCTTGAGCCCCAGGAGCCCAAGAAAGACATATTTTGGTAGCCATGACCTTGTTCTAGCCCAATTAGCCTCCTTAATAGTTAATTTGTAGTGTTTTGGCTTCATTGCATCATAGAAACACATAAAGTTAGCAACTTTACATGTTCAAATAGTCTTAGAAGACCAAATCTATTGTTTGGAGCAAAGGAGAAGCTCTGTGACTCGAAATTATGGAATGCACGTATAGACTCAGCGAGTCTGGGAGATGACTCGGCGAGTCGGGCTAGATTTCAGACTTGAGTCGCGTAGTAACTCGGCGGGTCACATGGGTAGACTCGGCGAGTTGTATGAAGATGGGAAGGAACTCGACGAGTTGGAAGAACAACTCGGCGAGCATGTTGAAGATTACCTTAGACTAGGCGAGTCTGTTCTTGGACTCGACGAGTCAGGTCGCGAAACCCCAAACCCTTCGAGTTAAGACTCAGATCAGTGAGTTGAGTGGGGACTCAGTGAGTTGGACAAGTCTGGACTCGGAAATCAGTAAACTCGACGAGTCATGGTCTGACTCGGCGAGTCGAGTCGCAAATGAAAAGGGTTTCTGAGCTTATGAACTCGGCGAGTCAGTAGGTTGACTTGGCGAGTAGGGTCAACTTAGAAGGTTGACTTTGACCAGAACTTTAACTTTGACAAGAGTTGACTTAGTTGACTTTTGGAGGACTGTCAGACTAAGTGTTATATTAATATTGGTAGCACAGAGAGCTAGAGGAGCAGCACCTCAGAGGTTTGTCGGTTAGCAGCCAGAGGGTTATCAACAGAGCTCAGCAGTTCAAGTGAGTTTCCTTCCAGTAGGAACGGGTCTAAGGCCACAATGCCGGCCCGTTTAGCTAGTAGTAGTTTCCAGACTTCGATCCGATGCAGTAGTTAGTATGTTTGATGCCTTCGTGGCTCAGACAGGATTCATGTGTTATGTGTTCCGAGCTACGACCCGATGCAGTATGCAGTATATGTGTGTTCATGCTAGTTGATATGTTTATGTTATGCTATGTTCAGTTAGTTCCGGACTTCGGTCCGACGCAGGGGGCAAGGCCCCAGTTAATCCGGACTTCGGTCCAATGTAGGGGACAAGGTCCCAATTAGTTTTCGGACTTCGGTCTGATGCAGGGGGCAAGGCCCCAGTTAGTCCGGACTTTGGTCCGATTCAGGGGACAAGGTCCCAGTCAGTTTCCGGACTTCGGTCCGATGCAGGGGCAAGGCCCCAGTTAGTCCGGACCTCGGTCCGATGCAGTGAGCAAGGCCCAGTATGTGCTTTATATGTTATTGTATGGTATGTGGTGGTTTAGGGGAGCTCACTAAGCTTCGTGCTTACGGTTTCAGTTTTTGGTTCCAGGTACTCGGTTTTCAAAGGAGGAGCTCGGAGAGGTTGCAGTGCACACACCATAGTCAGTTAGCCTGAGAATGTTTACTCTGATAATGAGATTATGTTTTGGATTAATACTCAGAAATTATGTTATGACTTATGATGCGGTTTTTATAGATATAGTTTTAGTAATATTTTTTTAAAAGAAATTTTTAGTCGTGATTTTGGGTCGTTACAATATATATATATATATATATATATATATATATATATATATATATATATATATATATATATATATATATATATATATATATATATATATTAGGAATGGCAACAGGACAGGTTCGGGGCGGGGCATGGTTTTCCGAACCCGCCCTAACGGGTTTCGGGTTTTTCCATCGGGTTTCGGGTATCTTATCGGGTTTATAAAAATTCATAACGAAATCTTTATTCCGTTTTAGGATACCCCGATGTCTTATAAAAATATATGTTTTAGCCTCCTTTTTAAATTAAAAATATGTTGCATCGCTTTAATAAAATAAATTGGACGTTATATTAAAAATTATTTGATTGAAGTTTAGTATAATACGTTAAAACATAAAAATTTGTTAATAACAAAAAAGATTATTTGATTTAATTTTAGTGTAATACGTCAAAACATAAAAAATGATCATTCGTACCTTATTTTTAAAAACTAAAAAGATTGTTCACAGTAAGTATTTTATATTTGAATGTGTACAATTAACATCAAAAAGATTCGTGTGTGTGTGTATATAATCGGGGCGGAGCGGGTCGGGGCGAAGAGAACTCACTCCCTGCCCCGAACCCGATAAAAAAACCCAATAACAACCCGTTACCTGACCCGAAATGATCGGGTTTCGGGTTTCTCTATCGGGTTCGGGGTTTTTTTTCCATCCCATATATATATATATATATATATATATATATATATATATATATATATATATATATATATATATATATATATATATATATATATATATAGCAATAGGATAAATTAGAAAATTGATAGTCAATTGAAAAATAATAAGTTTGTTTATAAGTCATCTATTTCATATTTTTTGAATGAGTCAACTTTGAATTCATCATTTTATATATATCCAATAAATTTATCAAAGTGATAATTTATTTTTTTCGAATAAAAGAGTTTAAAATATTTTTTGAATAAAAATATAATTTAAATGAAATTTATTCTTAATTAAAAAGTAATATCATCTAATAAATATATTTTAAAAAGAGTCTAGCACATTGTTGAATGTTGGTTTGTTTTCAATATTATATTGTAATCTGTTTAGAAATCATAACATCTTTTAATTTTAATTTGTACTTGTATTGATTATGTATATTTATTCATAAAAGTAATATAGTTATGGACAAAACTTCAAATTTCGTTTATAAATAACTTTTTATACATTTATGATTATTAATTATGATTTTTAAAATTTTTATGTTATTTTAAATTGTCACCCGTTTGATATACGGGTTGTAACCTAGTTTTCAAATATAAATAGACTTCTACCACATCACTTTGGTCCTTTGTTTCAATTAGTACAACCAACATAGATTTTCAAATAACTTTCTTATAAAATACGACTTATTTTTTCTATTAAAAAAATCATGAACTTTACTATTTACTTTTCAAAAATAATAGCTTTTTTTTAAACGGCAAAAATATATTTTATTCGTTACTATACCCCAGAGCAAGTAGCTAGTGAGGTGAAAATTGTTACATTGATTCGATACAAATGAGAGGATTTTTAATCCAAACACTCTATTCTAACTTTGCATGTGGCCACGATAATTTACCCATACAAAAGTTTGGGACTTTATAGTAGAAATTATTTTCGGCGGTTGCCATTCTTTGTTGAAGATTCTATCATTTCTGGCCCTCCATATATACCACAATGCACCGAAAAATAATAGCTATCTAAAATTAGGTTGGGGCTTATACAAATTAAGTTGCTGTGTTAAACATTTAATTAGCCCATTTAAAATACATGGAGACTTGAAAACAATTTGTTATGACACATATTTTCGTGTAAGTTACTGATTCTACACACTTTTTAGTTTGTAGATATTGTTGAACATAATTTTAGTTTAGCATCTTGCTCGTTGTATAAAATTTTGGCTGCCAAAAAAAGGTGTAAATATGCACAAAAAACTAGGGGTGTGCATGGGTCGGTTTGGGTCGGTTTTGGATTCAAACCCAACCCAACCCATAAATGGTCGGTTTCTGGTTTTTAGAACCCAATAGGATCGGTTTCTGATCGGTTCGGTTTCTTGGGTTCTGAGGTCGGTTTGGGCGGTTTTTCGGTTTCTTGGGTTCAACCCATACACTCACGGGTTCTGGGTTTAAACCCATGGGTTTAAGGTTTTAACCCATTTTCCATAAATGAAGCAACAAGTTAGATACTTCAAAAAATAACAAATTTAAGTTAAGTACTTCAAAAAACATGAGTCTTACACAAATAGTCAATTACAAGTTACAACTAAAGCCCGGAATAGTCTATTACAACTAAAACACAATCAAGTATGGGTGGTTTCTCGGGTTGGATGGGTCGGTTTCTTGGGGCGGTTTGTCGGTTTTAAGTATGGGTCGGTTTCTTGGGTTGGATGGGTCGGTTTCTGGTTAGAAACCGAACCCGAACCCGATTTTTCGGTTTCTAAAAATATCAAACCCAAACCGTCGGTTTCGGTTTTGTCGGTTTTAGTCGGTTTCTCGGTTTTTTGGTTTGGGTTTGCTCACCCCTACAAAAAACATATATACAACTGCATTTGTGGTAGTGCTTGATATCATTTAAAAGGAAGGATAATTTTATTTTTCTTAAAAACCTTTTACCTAAGAAATGATTGTAACTAACAAATAAACAAATTTTGAACAAAAACATTCTTCTTCATATGCAAACCAAACAAATTTACATGTTATCGGTTCACCTTCATTTTCTTCGTAAGAACATCATACAATTTCATTTCAATCTCCCTTGAAATTGCTACACTTATATCTTAATGTGTTCCACATAAATTCATGGAGTTTCTTTATCGTTCTTTCATTCAAATACGTTTTTCTTTTAACAACTGAATTTTCACTAAGAAACTAGCAATGAAATAGAAAACAGATTACATACTTGAATAATGTTATTATAGTCCCCTAATTTAAGTAAATCGACACCTAATAGTGGTTTAAAAATCCTAATTTAACAATTCAGAGGACTAAAATACAAGGATATATTTTATTTGTATGTAATTGTTCTAGTTGCAAACTTTTGAAAAGTGTAAAAATGATATAAAACATAAAAGCTCTCAAAAGCTAGTTGAAATAGCTTTTTTAGATTAACAACTTTTTGTTTAAAACACAAACTTTAAACTCGTACGAAGCTTTTCCTTTAATTCGACCTCTCTTTTAAAAGCTAAAGTCTAACTAAACCCTGTAAAAAGCATATATTCAATATGGACAAGGAATATATACTAGTAGGATTATATATAGAGAAAAGGGTTTTGATTAATACATGGATTAAAATGGGTTTAATAATGTTCCTATGTTGTATGCATGTCATGTCATGCAATAACATTTACAGTTAAGCTGTCACAAATGAGGCCGTATTTAATATTCTTTCAGCAAGTAAAAGATCATCGGGAGTTGTAACCTGCAATGCGTACATCCATCTATAAATATTCATATTCTTGATATAGATTTTTTTTTTTTTTTTTTTTTTTTATATAAAGTAATTATAATACACTATTAAATGAATTACGAATGATAAATTACCTTGATGTTAGTATAAGATCCTTCTGTGATGTACACAGGATGTTTGAGATGCTCAACAATTGACACATCATCCGTGACTTCAAGGCCTTCTCTGTTGTGTACCCAAAAATTAAAAATAGGGAATCAATCCCTTACTGATATATTATGAATAATTTAGAATAAAATCAAATGAGAACAAGAATTTTTTTCTTTTGGAGTATTAAACAAACGAAATGAAAATGAAAGTGGTACCTATTTACAAGCTCAAAACCTTTCTTCAACAGCTCAGGCTTGATGACCTAAAAAAAAGATTCAAATCACATCAAGGACAAATAGAAAATTGAAATCGTCAAAATGTTGACTTTTTATATTATATATAAATATACATATAAATATAATTAAACCTGTGGAGTTTGCATTTCCCAAAGTGTTTTTCTGTCCAAAGTCTTCACTACAAAAGATTCGCTATTTGCCTGCGTATATAGATTTTTTTTTAAAAAAAAACAATAATTACCAACGACTATTTGTAATGTACCCAAAATAAAAAGTATAAAAACTTTAGGTAAATGAATTAATTTTTATTTTTATTTTTGTATTTAGTATATAATACTACCTCTTTGATAGTTGCTTTAGCAGGAACACCAAGTACTGAAGCTCCAACATGCAAACCATCATTTAGAACCTGTCAATTTAAAAAGAATGTTTCACTTTTTTACCAATTTATGCAACTGACATGACACCACTTAGATATTTATTTATGTAACATTTTTTTTTTTACTTTTTAAAATTTATGTGGAGATGGAAAAGGTAAATTGGATAACAAACCTTTTGTACATCACTAGAAGTTACCAAAGGTCTTGCTGAATCATGAATGCATACAAGTTCAGAATTCAAATCAATTGCCTGTTTACAAAAAAGAAAAAAATAAAATGAGATTCTTTTGTGTTTCATGCTATTAATAACATGTAATTATTCTCAACTATAAAAATGATTAAAACAAATAATTATTAAATATTATGAGAGATGAGAATGAACCTGAAGTCCACTGAACACAGAATCTTGTCTTTCTTTTCCAGGCAATGCAAATTTCAGGTCAACATTGACTTTCTGTCTAGCATCTGATAAGAAAAAAGAAAAATGAGCTTCTTTTGTGTGTGATAAAAGATCAAAATGTGTGTTAATCACACACACACACACAATATTGTATTTCTGCAAACATGTTTTCAGACCTTCAAAAATATCCTGGTAAGATGGATCACAAACCACAATGATTTCTTTAACCTCTGGCATCCGTGAGAAAGTGTAGAAACTACAAAAAAAAAAAATGAAGCATTTAACCACTTTAATCCATAAATCAGGGAAAATGTGACACATTGTTGCATAAAAAAGCATTTAACCCTTCTTTGAAACTACCAAAATGTAATAATATGTTGATTTTTAGGTGCTCCAAAATCCAAATATGACAAGAAGTGATAGTTACCAAATTACCTATACAAAGCAATTGGTTGCCCTAAAAGGGGAAGATACTGCTTTGGCATGCTTGCCTACTCACAAAACAAGATCAAAGTCAAGCAAATAGTCATCATCATGAGAGAGCAATTCCACTTGCCAAAAAATATGAGGAGCTCAGTGATCCAAATGTTGAAAATTGAACAAAATTGTAAACTCTAAGATAAGAATTTGATTATGTTTGTATGATCAGTGGGAACAGGATTGAGAGAGACTTACACCCATTCGTTTTCCCTTCCCTCCAGCTAGAAGAACCACGGAGACACTTTTCTCTTTAACAGATTCACTGCTCTGCAAAATAGTAATCAAATCCAGTTGACCAATTACTTGAGGTTGGGAATTGGAAATTTGGAATATATGATCATTTATGTTAGTAGATAAAATTTAAACTGATTTAGCTCCAATTCAGCAACATTACGAGATCAAATTGATGTTGCTAGACGAAATCATTTGTCAAACCCAATACTGATTCCATACAAAATGGCTCCAATTTCAACTTCCTAAGCTCTAGCTACCAATACTTGCATATAGATTCTTAAAAGTAACTAGAATTCATTATTGTCGAAGCTCGCTCACCTGGTTTGTAATGCTAGAAGAATCATGAGCGGAGCAATTGATTGTATAGCTTCTAATAATTGAATGGCGTCTAGGGGAAGTGGAATTTCTCGTACTTAACGAGCAAGGAGATAAGAATCGAGGATGCTGGCCGTGGTGAACTGACGATAGGTAGATGGAGTTGGATGGAATTTGACTTTGAGATAGGGAAATCTGAGAGGAAGGTGAAATGACGGAAGGCATAACCTGAAGAATCGTCATCCCTTTCTCTCTGCAACACCGCTGACCTCCTCTTGTTCCCCCCTGAAACCGGTGAAGAGAGACAACAATAAGATGCCATTCTTGTTAAAACTTGAAGAGCAGCATCTTGTGAAAATCTGGATATGGCGATCCGGGTATAATCATTTCATTCGGGTCGGGTTATTGGGTTATCGAATCGATCGATGACAATCTGTTTATGGGCTTTGAGTGTGTATGGCCCAAGTAAAGGCGGAAGTCAGCCATTCGTATCCATTGGGGCAAGGCAAACAAGGCAGCAAACCGGGGCGGCGACACAGATCAATCGACGACGATGGGGAAGACATTAGGACCAACCGGAGAGTTCTTCAGGCGAAGGGATGAATGGAGGAAGCATCCGATGCTCACAAATCAGTTTCGTCACGCAACTCCTGGGCTCGGGATAGCCCTGGTCGCCTTCGGCATCTATCTCGTTGGTGAAACTGCTTACAACAAGATCTACGCTCCTTCGCACTCCCAATCTCACCACTCTGCTGCATCTTCTTCACCTTCGCATTCTCACTGAGATTCGTGATTGTGATTGTGATTGTGATTGTGAGTCAAGTTTGATTTCTTCTCCCTTTTTCAGTTTTAGATTATTTTTCTTGTTGTTTCCGCTGCAACGTGAATATGTGCAATTTCCTAAATTGGGCGTTTTGACACTCCTGATTATAAATCTATTTGTATCTCATTCTTTACCGATTCAGTTGTATCATCAAATACTACTTAAAGATATTTTGAATTATGCCAAAATCTAGGTTTTTTTCTTAAATAGCTCCAGCGTATTATCAATGGTTGAATTGAAATTTTACGTTTTACCCAATATTTCCAACCCATATAGCTTGAATTTTTTGTACTGATCATACGAATAAACTCAATTCACGTCTGCATATGTGTTCAAGAGAAATAAACTGAATCTTGAAAACAATGTGAATCCCCATTCCCCAAAGTTTGGGTTATTGTTTTAAGCCATCAAGTCTTTGACTTTTGGGTTTCTCCTTTATCTGTAAGTAAGATCATTACAAGAATACCTTGCAAAACCGTATCATTGTTGATGTAATTTAGTATTGTATGTATGAAGGTGTGAATTGATAAGTATGAAGTTGAAGCCTGGATTTTACCCTCCTTTATTTTTGGTCTTTATAACAGTTGTCTGTTATATAATTCAAAGCTAGGTAGATAGGTCATTTGGATGATCATATGTTTGTGATTTATGTCAAGTTGTTGAGTAAAAAAGTCGATAGACCACAAATGAAGGATTATATTTGATGGCATTTGGAGTTTGGAGAAAGGTTAATTAAGGAGGAAGAGGAACTGGTTCAAGCTAAATTTGGACAAAATACATAAAACACAATTTGCGCCAAAGTGATTAAATCATTATCTGGTTTTGAAAAAAGATTGAAATACAGCAAGTTATTTGATGATGAACAACTGGATTTGGTTATTGATTTGGAAGTGATGTGTTTTTCTGTATATTTTTCAGGTGCTGTGATTGTGATTTGTGAAGGGAAGCTATGCATACATGATTAGGAATACTCAATCCTATCCAATCTAATGACTTGTTTAAATAAAAGCAGTTCTCTTATTCGTATGACAATGATTTGATAAAGCATGTTATGTATAATTTTCTTGGTGCGTGCTTCAAGACCTTTGGATCTATCTGTCATTTGGAGAATGGATGTGTTTGTTGTTTGTTACCATATGTCTTCGTCTTTTCTTTTCCTATGTTCATATCACTTCAACTCTCTCTTTGGCAACCATGTTGTTCAAACTAAAACAAACAAATAAATAAATAAGTACATCAAGTATATTGATAAATAAATCCACAACTGTTTTGTCATCTTCATTACAACTCTTTAGTAACATGTCAATAACCATTCATGTAACATTCAGTGAAGAATGTAAGTACATAGTTTTATCATTATCATCATCATTTACTAAGGACATTCTTTTGTAATGTTGTCAAGTTCTCAACTAGTAAACCACCTGAATCACAATAACCAAAATATATAAGAAAATGTATACAACCCAAGCCATATAAATACTTAATTCTGTATTTTTACATGAAAGGAAAAAAAAAAAAAAAAAAGCACCATATAAAAGATAGATTATCTGATTATGTAATTTGTACGTCACTTATTGTACCTTTTTTAACGTCTGGAATTTCCAATATTTTTTGTTATTAGGTTTTAGTTTCTTGATACGCCCGTAAAACCTAGTATAGTCGGGGCCTTTAAGGTTGATGTATGTTTGTCATTCACTCCATTAATATCATGTTGTGTTGTATTTACGTTTATTTATGTATTCAATATATAATATAGACAATAGGTTTCCTAAACGTAATTTGTATTAACTTTTATTAGTCAATTTTATATAATTTTCTTCATATTCTATTTTTTTCATACTCTATTATTTTTAAATCCATTTTTGGGACCAAATATTCTATCATTTTTTGTCAATCAGTTTTACCTACTTCCTTTTATTGGATAACTTCTGTATTCATTTAGATATAACATCGCCGTCTAGACTCTCTCTCTCACACATACACACACTCGCACTCGCACTCGCACAGTCATTGCTTCGTTTGCTCGTAATTTATGTTTTGTATGCTTTGGAGAAAGAAGCAGAGTAGTCATGTCCTCGATGTTGAGGTGGAAATCCAAGATTCTTAGTAAGCATATCAGAGCAACTTCGTTTTCATCATCCTCAACCTATCACCACCATACTCCACTAAACCTCCTCATACCACCACCACAACTGCATCAATCAAACTATTTCAAGTTTCGACTTTTAGGGTTTCAACAAAATCGCCATAAATGGGAAGGAAGTTCCGACAATTATGATCATATTAAAGCCCAAGTTAACTGCCCTAGATGTTCCCAACTCATGACCCTACTTTTTTTCAAACCGCCCTCTATCGATCACTTCCGATACTGGCATCTACCATGCCCTTAACATGTGCCGTAACTGCAGAACTGCTTATTATTTCCGGCCGTTTAAGATAGACCCGCTTCTTCAAGGGAGCTTTATTGAAATTGGAAGGATTAGAGCCGGGAAGGAGGAAGATGTGGGAACTATTGCTAATGCTAATGCTGCTAATGATGGTGACGAAAACAGGAAAGTAGGCGTTAAAATGTGGGAGAAGTTAAGGTCTTACGGTGGTGGGGATACAGTAGATGGTCCGACGATGGATGCTGGTGGTGTGGCGGTGGAGGAGCAAGAGAAGCGTGGAGAGTGTGGTGGCGATGGACAGGGTAACAATGGGTGGTCGGGTGGATCAAAGTTGGGATAGAATTGCCGACACCAAAGGAGATATGCAGAGGACTTAATGAGTTTGTAATTGGGCAAGAACAGGCTAAAAAGGTGTGTGTGTTTTACTAATTATTATGGGGCATCAGTTTGTAACGTTTACAGTAGAGCTGTATCAATTGAAACGATTTATCTTTTTGATTTCTGTATTGTAACGTTTATGCAATATCGACAATCTGACAGGTGCTTTCGGTTGCTGTTTATAACCACTACAAGAGAATTTATCACGCCTCTATGCATACAAATCAAGAAACTGAAAACCAAGATGTGGATCATGTTGAGTTAGATAAGAGCAATGTTCTGTTAATGGGTCCAACTGGCTCAGGTTTTCACTTATTTCTTGATTCTCTTTTTGTTTATTTATTCAAAATTCTTTTGTTTTGATTGTTATATCATGAATTTGACTGAAAGGACAGGGAAGACATTACTTGCAAAGACCTTAGCTCGAGTAGTCAATGTTCCTTTTGTTATTGCTGATGCTACTACTTTGACACAGGCAGGTTTGATATAAGTTGTACCTTACATCAGATACAAAACTCATGTATGTATGTATGTATGTATGTATGTATGTATGTATGTATGTATACATCAGTTTCTTAATATTTCATTACCCTCTTCTGTAGGCAGGTTATGTTGGAGAAGATGTGGAATCAATATTGTATAAGCTTCTTGTGGTAAGTTATAAGTATATATAGTTTTGGTCAACATTGACTTTATGCATATACCTGTTGACCATTTGGTGTATTTTGGTTGACTGGATTCAGGCTGCTGACTTCAATGTGGAAGCAGCTCAACAAGGAATTGTGTACATAGATGAAGTTGATAAGATAACTAAAAAGGTCTTGTGTTCTTTGCATTCATGGAAGAAAACATAGATTTTTATTTATGTTTGTGTATGTTTTTTGGTTAAAAGTTATAAATATGTATGCAGGCTGAAAGTTTAAATAGTGGCAGAGATGTATCTGGTGAAGGGGTTCAACAAGCGTTGCTCAAAATGCTTGAAGGAACTGTGAGTTGTATCGATTCATATGTACATTGTTGATTTTTTATTATTATTTAAAGTTGTAAAGTTTATAAAATTTGATTGTTTATTTTGCAGATTGTTAATGTTCCTGATAATCGAGCTCGAAAGCAGCCTCAGGGTGATGGCATTCAGGTCTTTTATTTGCCTTAATAGCTAATGTCTAATTTACCCTTTTCTTTAAAATACTGATAAGTAATTCATGTTGATTGAAATATTTGCAGGTGGATACAAAAGATATCCTTTTTATATGTGGTGGGGCCTTTGTTGATCTGGAGAAAACCATTTCTGAGAGGTATAAAACTATAAATAATAATACCCATGAATGATTTTAATATATTCATCTATTGATTTTTTTTTTTTTTTTAACATTTTACTATTTTGCCCCAGACGACAAGATTCATCTATTGGGTTTGGTGCTCCAGTGAGGACTAATATGAGAGTTGGTGGATTAACCAATGCTGTGGTTACATCTTCATTGTTGGAATCTGTGAGTAGCAATTTTAACATTTTATTCACATTATAAACATTTTAAGTAATCAATTGCTGTGAAAATTTGTATTTTAAAATTGTAGGTAGAAAGTGGTGACCTTGTTGCATATGGTTTGATACCCGAGTTTATTGGTCGATTTCCTATTCTAGTCAGTTCTTCAGCTCTAGATGAAGATCAACTTCTTCAGGTTCATATTCAGCTAATTGCAAGAAATAGCAACCTACTTTCATTTATTTGTTTATTACATAAACTCCATTTTTTATTTTATTTTTTCTGTAAATTTATTATTGACAGGTTTTAACAGAGCCGAAAAATGCACTTGGAAAGCAGTACAAAAGGATGTTCGCCATGAACAATGTAAAAATAAAATATATATATATATATATATATATATATTTTTTTCACATTTCCTAGTAAAAAATAGAATAAAAGTAATAATGGTTCTACTTGATTCCATTTTTTGTATTTCAGGTGAAGTTACATTTTACTGATACTGCACTGAGATTAATTGCAAAAAAAGCAATTGCCAAAAACACAGGTGCACGTGGTCTAAGAGCCATTTTAGAAAATATTCTGGTGGACTCAATGTTTGAGGTATTTTTTTCTTTTTTTAATCAAAATAATTCCACCCTTTTGTACTTAACTTAAACTTTTTTTTTAAAAACACATTGTGGGAAATTATAGGTTCCAAATCCTCCCCACCAAGGAGCTGATTTTGTTGATGCAGTGGTGGTTGATGAGGAGGCCATAGGTTCAGAAGAACAACCAGGAACTGGTGCAAAGATTCTTTATGGAATTAATGCATTACAAAAATACCTCAATAATCTAAACTCAACACACCCTTTGGTATATTCTTCTTCCTTGGTTTCAATAAATTTAACCACTTAGAAACTAAAGAAAAAGAAAAAAAAAAAAAAACAAGGGCAAATTTGTAAAATTTGACAGTTTTTCGATATGGTTGTTCTTTGTGCATTAAGGTGTTGTTTCTTGTTGACTTAATGAGTTGAATACTTAATATGGACATCATGACTTAATAGGTTAAGCCAAGAAACATTATTTGCCTCCTCTTTTGTTTCTCTCATGTTAAAACTTATGATATTTAATCAAATTGATGAAATATTGTGGTATTTGTTTTTAGAATAGAAGGATGAATGGTCATCTAGTTTCATTCGCAAAGTTTTTTTTGACTTAATGCATGAAAAATGTATTAATATGCAAAGTCAGGGAAAATTTTCAACATTCCCCATTAAGTCTCAAGTTTTAGTGTTTGATTAAACTTAATTTTGGGTGATGGATTTTAGGAAGCAACACAAGGGAATAAGGGTGGTAGTATGGAAGGGGATTTGGAGGTCACATCAAGAGTCATGAGTTTGTGAAAACATCATCATCATCATCGTCTATGTATTTGTATTTGGCTATGTACATTTTTAAACCCAAGAATAAAAGTTGATGTATTTTCACAAAATTTGAATGCAATTTTAACATCTCCAACTTATAGACTGCTCCAATAACATTTTGGATCGACTTAAAAGAATGATCAAGTTTTTTGGTAACACGCAACCTACTGAAATCTGGGAATGCCTTGCCGTGGAGTGTATATAATATCCAACTTATTTGAAATCATAATATAGAGAAAAAAAAAAAAAAAAGTTATTTAGAAGGTATAGAGATAACCATTAGATAAAATATCAAGATTTATAACGTAAAATAAAATGTTAATCTTTATTTTATTGGCTACACTTGGCGTATAACGCTATAACATTTTACAACTTACATAACAAAGGATCCGACTCTGACTACGCGGATAATCATTATGTATATGTATATTTTTAAGTTGTATTAATTTGATTATAATATGATGGATTTTATTTGTTATATGTGGATTTAAAAGAAGGTTTGTTGGGCCCCGCTTAGAATCCAGTTGGAGATTTTCCAGGTTGGATTGGTAGGTCCGCTTCTATCCAAATTCATTTTCTTCTGAATCCATGTCCAATTAAAAAAAGAAAAAGAAAAGTTGGTCAACCAACTACTCCATGCGTTCTATTCTTGGTCCCCCACTTCCTTTTACATAAAGGTTAAATTCTTTCTCTTTTTCACTAAAACTGACTTATCCATTTAAATACTAATTAAATCACGGCAACCCAAGTCAAACTGATACAACAGTGTTTCTCAAATTGATACACTACTCTATGTCAAATTTGATATCCAATTCATAATTGGTATGTTGCACTTAGAGGACCTTCACATTGTTGATGTCAAATTTGATATCCAATTCATTAAATGTAGCTAGGACATGGTCTCGATAATACACTCTACCTATTAACTTAGTATCAGAGTTTGACACACAAAATAAATAATACTTATCCTTTGGTTTAAAAAAAATTATGGTATGTGGTCTTCGGTTTAATTATATGTGTAAAATAGATAAACTATAGATTTGGGTTAAAGGTTATGCAAGTATTGGATTAATGGAATGCAATATAAACATTTAATACACGTACATTTTTTAAATAGATTTACACTTCTTATTAGGAAAAAAAAACAGTTAAGGCTATGTAATTACATACCTTTGTTGTTGACAACATGTTTGTCCTTATATGCACCAAACTTGTCTAAATGACATGCTCTAGGCACATATAAGAAGATTGTGACCGACATCTGTGGTAGTGTGAGTTTGATAGATACTTAATAGCATCCATTCTCATCTAGCTTTGTTAAAAACATTAAATTATATCTTTGTTTAATCTTCAATTCTGAAGTCATACAACTATTTGTGTAGTATGGACACATTGCCCTAAAGTTGCGGTCTGAGTTTTGTGCGTTCTTGAGAGGTCGTACACCATTAAGCCCATACAACCAAGAATGAAAATAGATAATGGTTTATTACATACTTTCATCCTACATTATGGCCTGACAGCAAGTACACCATGCGTACATAATGTATGCCTAACGTACTCCTCATCCTTCCACCACCTTAAGTTGAAATGAAAAATAGACTAAGTCAGAAACTTCATACCTGGCGACTCGGGTGCTTCAGTTGTATTGATCGCCTGGAATGAAGAGGGTAGTAGGGATGTATGTGGAGAAGTGCATGACATGTTTGAAAGTAAAGTTGAATCATCAAAAGCCACACGAAAAAGTTCAGTTGTTGCCAATTCTAGTAAAGAAATAGGATGAGATAACAATCAATTTTTTATGAGTAAACTATTGAAAACACCGAATGAGTATGATTATATTTGGGTAGCAGTATATCAACTGACGAAATCTACTCAATTCATTCCTATATGTGAAACTTATTCGACTGAAAGATTGGGTGATGTGTATATAAAAGAAGTAGTTAAAAGATATGGTGTGCCGATTTCGATTGTGTCTGACCACGATAGCGGATTTACTTCATAATTTTGGCAATGTTTTTAGGAACAAATGGGTTTCAAAATATTGATGAGTATGACTTATCACCCGCAGACAGATAGGCAGAACGAAAGGACTATCATGACATTGAAATAAAAGATCTAATTGAGAATTTGTACTCTACACCTTTTTTTATTCATTACGTAACTTGTTTTCAAACAAAAGCCAACAAGATATATATATCCTGAGATCCTAAAATTCAGTAAAAGATAATGAAAAGCAAAACAGATAAATGTGAAACATCTATGATTATCTATTCATTGGAATAATCTAGATTCCTTTACTCCCCCTCAAGCTGGAGCATGAAGATTCCGAATGCCCAGCTTGTCCGACAACAACTTCAAACGATTTGAACTAAGTGGCTTAGTGAGCAAGTCATCCAATTGATCTTGAGTGCTTATCTTGACAGGAACAATCTCCTTTGACAAAACACGTTCTTGTACGAAATAGCAATCCATTTCGACATGCTTGGTGCGCTCATGAAACACCGGATGTGAGCAATATTGCGTGCGGATTCATTATCACACAAAAGAGGTGTTGGTGCATGGAAATCGACATTAAATTCTGCCAACAACCAACGGGTCCAAAGAATTTCACTCACAGTAGTAGCCATTGCACGATACTCGGCTTCAGCTGAGGATCGAGAAACAACTGATTGTTTCTTGGATTTCCATGAAATCGGTGCACATCCCAAGAGCAATATGTACCCCGTCCGTGACCTTCGTGAAAAGGGACAACCCAACCAATCTGAATCGCTATATGCTATCAACTCAACATCTTCAGTCTTTGGTAACAACACACCTTGTCCCAAAGTAGTTTTGAGATAAAGAAGTACTTGCATAGCAGCATTCCAATGACTTTGTTTAGGGTCCGAGACAAATTGGCTAAGGACATTCACGGAATAAGTAATGTCAGGTCTGGTTGCTTGAAGATATAAGAGTCTCCCAACGAGACGTCTATACACACTAGCATCGACCTGATCTTCATCTTCTCCTTTATTTAATTTTTTATTTTGTTCCATTGGAAACCTGCTGGGTCGACATCCAAGAAAACCCGAATCTTCTAGGACATCAATGGTGTACTTTCATTGACTAAGAACCAAACCTTCGCTTGTACGAGCCACTTCTATGCCCAAAAAATATTTCAAGGTTCCAAGATCCTTGATACTAAAACTCGCATCAAGTCTAGATTTGGTATGCTCTATCTTTTTCTTGTTGTTACCAACAATTATTACATCATCCACATAAATAAGGACTACCACAAAGGTGTCGCCATGCTTATAAACGAATAGTGAATGATCAGCTTGAGATTGTCGAAATTCTAGACTTTGGAGGGTTGTAGTAAATTTTTGATACCGATTTCTCGAGGCTTGTTTTAACCCATACAAAGACTTTTTGAGCTTACAGACTCGTGTTTCGTTGTCTTTTCTAAAACCTTGCGGTATCTTCATGTAAATGTCTTCATCCAAATCTCCATGTAAAAAGGCGTTGTTAACATCTAACTGGTGTATGATCCAGTCACGTTTGACAGCTATAGTGAGTAGAACACGTATGGTTACAAGCTTAGCCACCGGGGCAAAGGTGTCATGAAAATCCACACCTTCCATTTGGGTGTAACCCTTAGCAACAAGACGGGCCTTGTAGCGTTCTATATCTCCATTTGGCTTATACTTTATCTTATAGACCCACTTGGAATCTATAGCTCTTTTTCCGGAGGGCAATGATGTAAGTTCCCAAGTGTTATTTTGTTCAAGAGCTTGGATTTCCCTTTGCATGGCTTCTTTCCATCGGTCATTTTTAATAGCCTCATGAAAGAACTTTGGCTCATCGTGGGTGGCGATGGCAGCTAAAAAGGACTTGTGAGCATTAGAAAATTTATCATATGAGACATAACTAGTGAGAGGATGTATCGTGGAGGTGACTCGATTGGCAGCAGGTTGCGGATGACTTATCGAAGGAGGCAGTTGTACGTCATAATCTTTGAAGCGAACTGGTTGAGATCGAGTTCTGGTCTCTCTGTTGCTGTCAGTGTTGCTGATTTCTTGGTTCTCGTGATTGTGACTCTCCACGAGTTCGCTGTTTTCATCGATGGTAGTATTATCTAGTTCGAGAGTATCGTGATGATCTTGGGCTTCATTGCGAATGTGGTTGTCGACGATGAAAGGACGTTGAACCGGAGTCGTGGTGACCTCCTTATCAGTGAAGACAAAGAGGTGTTCATCTTCTTCATTTGTCTCCTTACTTTCTTGTATTCGTTTCATTGGAAATTCATGTTCTAGAAATCTTACATCTCTTGAGACTACTAACCTTCTGTACTCTAAGTCATAAATTTTGTAGCCCTTCATCCCCAGTGGGTAACCAACGAAGATGCCTGGTCTACCTCGCGGCTCAAACTTGTCTCCACCGGTTTCTGTGCTTCGGTAGTAGGCCAAACATCCAAATACTCTTATGTGATCATAAGTGGGTGATTTATTAAAAATAACTTCATAAGGAGTGACCCCATTGAGCACCTTCGAGGGAAGCCTATTGATCACATAAGTAGCGGTCAAAATACATTCTCCCCAAAAGGCCTTGGGAAGATTGCCGTGGAAACAAAGGGCTCGTGCCGTCTCAAGCAAATGTCTATGCTTGCGTTCAACCACCCCATTTTGTTGGGGTGTATATGGACAAGAAGTCTCCAAGACAATTCCCTCTTGTGCATAAAAGTTATGCATTTTATGAGAGATAAATTCTCCTCCATTGTCACACCTTATATGCTTGATCTCCTTCCCAAACCGCATTTTGACCGTCTTGTGAAAATTTATGAGGTGTGTGTTAGCCCCTTACTTATGTCTGAGAAGAATTGTCCATACAGATCGACTAAAATCATCTACTGTAGTCAAAAAATAATAAGCCTTTGAAAAAGATGGGGTTCTATACTTCCCCCACACATCACAATGTATAAGATCAAAACAATTTGTAGTCTTTATTTCACTAATAGGAAAAGGAAGCCTTGTGTGTTTAGCCTTAAAACAAGCATCACACACTTCATCTTGGGTATTTTTAGAAACATTTTTAATAAACCCTAAACTAGAAATCTTCTTGGGAGATGGATG